ATCGAGACCTGAGAATGGTCTTAATGTTCAAGAATGTTGTTGGGTTGTCTCCGCAGAAGGCCCCTTTTACCTCCTCCAGGTTTCCCAGCATGGTGACGATCGTGTTATGGAACCGAAGTTGTGCATCCACCTTTAGCTGAATGAAAGACCATATCGTTTTCCTTTAGATACAGAGAGTGGGAATTAGAATAAAGATAATGAAGCGATTTCACCTGTTATCAAGCAGGCGCTAGGAAACAAATGCGAAAATAAAGTGCAAACAGTTCAAAGATTCGGAACCCAATCTGTATACGATTAAATAGCGAGTGACATTAGCTTATGACGTAACTTCTGCTACTATTAATTTTTGGTACGAGAATAGACTGTAGTTTTAATTAATTTACGAGAATCAATCGTTTCTGTGTTACCATGACAAAACGAAAACGCATTTAGTAGTAGATGAACTTTAGAAGCCCCATGTGCTTTGGAAAGCATGGATTGCATTTGCGGCTCGAAGCTGCAGAAGTGATCTAGTGCATGTTTTAGAAAGCAACATAATCAAATAAAAAATTACATTTCTGTAAACATTTCGCCGCAAGCCATTCATTTACTCTTTTTTTCAGAAGCAGTGCATATGCCAACAGAACGTAAATAGAGCCTACCTACATACCAGAATACAAAAAGTTAATAATTACCGAGTTCGTTGTGAACCGTGTGCGGGTGGCCGCAGTAGGCTCACCACACAGGGTGGTGCGTTCCACCGTGCAGAGGGTCCCGGTAGAGCTCTTTACACGAGCAATCCGAGCGGAACCCCCGCCTGATTCCCTTCATGTCAACGTTCGTTGCCATTGCCTCACTCTGAAAACAAGATTGTTAACAACGGTCAGTCATTTAACGCCCACAGTCAACCTAGCCCTAAAGCGCATAAGAAGGAAAAAAAAAAAAAAAAAAAAGAAAACTTCTGTTTATATATTTTTCGCGGATGTACGACACAGAAAAAAAAATATTCAGCCAGCTACAGAAAACAAAGAGCATAATAAACATCATAAAATCTCCAAAAAAAAAAACATGGTCGGCGTCAAAAAAAGAAAAAAAGCCGGTAGCTGTGCCGGCACGACCGTCAAAATATAACGAACAAAACAGTAGGCCAAAGAAATACAAAAAAAAAAAAAAAGTACTCCCTGGTCACCGCTACACCCTTCCCCCCTTTCCGCAGACGCCGCGACGCCGACGCAACGCGAACACATTATTTCTTCTTTTTGTTTTGTGCTCGTCCAATCCCCCTGCCCTTTTCACAAACATACATACACATTATGGGTTTTTGCTCGCCGCCCACTTGAGAAAAAAATGTTCATAATCACTGCAACGCTAACGATGTCTACAACATAACGTTGCAGTGTAAATTGCTGTAATGAATTGTGAAGGCAAACAAACGCAAAATCGCCAACATTGTTTCTGTCAATCAACGCTCTCGGGCGGTCAACCTCAAGCATTTAGAGTGCACACCGAGAAAGAAATCGGCGAGCCAAGCTTACACTGACTGCCCCAGCTAGGGTGCCTTTATGTTGGCTTTGCCTTAGGGAGGGTGATGCCATCCTTTGTAGTACTCGATGCCGACAGTGTACGCTCACGGATAAAATACAAGGAAATTGCCGGTAATAAAATGCCGGCGTAGCACTGCCAAAGCTAGCAGCTCGAGCTGGGAGAAGAACGAACGCGCGTTCGAAATTAAAAAGTAGACAAAAGCGTCGGATAGAAAATGGTCTGATATCACCAGCCTAAGACAGACGCGTACACATTGGGACACCCTAACCCGCTAAAAGTGTTCTGTGCGAAAGACAGCCCTGCGGCTCACGGCAGGGCAAACGATTAGCGACGCTTTGTCCTAGCTGAACGAGCAGATCCAGGAAGCGACCGCGTCCGCGGACTACAGCTGAACACTCTCACTCTACATGCAAAGCTCGTGCATCTCACAGCCAGCGTGAAAATATTGATGGCTTGTTATTCCCACCCGCAATGCACCCAAAACGAAAGCGCCAATATGACAGGATTACTCACCCGAAGGAAGTCAAACGAGCAGCATGACCCTTGGGACTCTCCGGCAACGACCGTTTCCAGCTCTCCGTGAATTGACGCGAAGCCTCAGCACAGTCCGAACTCTTTGCCGTGGATTAGTGCGCCTGCCCCCCTCCTCCTGACCGAACTACATTGGTCCAGTTAAGAGGGACCAGTCCCCTCTTAATATGAAGGGCACGCGTGAATCTTTTTGTCTGTCTTTCCTGTTCAGAGGGACTAACGAAACGGTTTCCTTGGTCTCTCTTAATATGTTGGTGTCCCTCTAGATGTTGCTATTTTATTTTTCAATTTCCCTCTTAAAAAGAGCTGTCCCCCTGAAAGCATTGTTGTCCCCTCTAAAATCAGAGGGACAGCGTTTTTTATGAGAGACCGGTTTTAGAGTGTAGAAAAAGTATGCGGCTTCGTGATCTCTTCTCACCGATTCCTTTTCGCTCGAAAAGTAACTCTGCTCATTTAACGCATTCGCATAGTTTATACTTATCTGTGTTTATTTACCTTATGTTTTGCTTTCTTCTTTGCTTCCTAACTTTTTTGTAATGTACAACTGTTCCGCTACCAGGCCGCAAGTGCGAGCTATTCGTTGAAGGGTGCATCTCGGTTGCGCGAACTTTCGATCAGCCGGAGCAACAGCCAAAAATAAAGCTACGAGCTCGGGATCCTCGCCTTCAAAATATGTCACAATTAAAAGACAAGTATTTGCTCGGAGTGTTGTAATAAAAATTGCAAGGAAAGCAAAAACTGCCAAATTAACCGTTTTCTTTTTTTAAAATATGTTTGGAGCTGGTGAACGACAGTGTACCTCTTCCCTTGTACTATCAAAAATGGCAGCACGTTGGCAGGGCGGTGTCATTTTCATTCTAGCTATCACATCACGGCAGGGCCCAGAGTAGTCATAAAACATATGAAAGCGAATGACTTCACTTGCAAAACTGTGTTTCCCCCCCCCCTCCCCCCCCCTCCCCCCCCTCCCCCCCCCCCCCTTCTCCCGTCTGAGGTTGGCTCGCGATTTTTCCGGTGTGGGCTATTTGGCTCCCACACTTGAATGAGTTTGAGACCACTGGCTAGGTCATAACATTCTTAATGTATTTTTTTTATTTGTCAAACCGCCTCTCCGCGACGATCTTTGACGTAGTTCATCAAGCTGTGCTGTCTGACCTAATCTACATATTTCTATGATCTTTACATTACCGTAAAGCTCTAATTAAACTCTTTCTTTTGAGTATAATTTCATTATTGTGCAATAAATATATAATGCGCTACATGTGCCTGGAAAACGGATATTTCGAAAAACTAGCAAGTTTGGAGTCGAATTTGAAAAAAAAAAAAAAAAGAACTTTATTTATTTTATTTTTTATTCAGAGTTAGGTAATATAGTAGTCTATCAGGAACTACCAACAGAACTTGCAATATATTGTTTCTATGGCCGCTATTAAGACTCGAATCTCGTGCCATGAGCGTTTTGAGCGGGACTTCACACAGGCGCTGTGCCGAGCAGAATTTTGGCCTATGTAAGGTTTTCTACTTATCTTTTGCAGTTACCTCAATATCCAACCATAAAAATTAATAAAATTTGGAGTAGTGTACTTAAAGAAAGTTACTTAGAAGTCCTTATCCACAAGTGCGGGCACAGCGCATTTTTTGCGCTGTGCCCGCACTTGTGACAAATGTCAAATGTGACTAACACATTAAAAAAAATCATTTTTTTAAAATTGTCAAACCTCCTCTTTGCAACAATATTTGACGAAGTTCAGCAAGCTGTGCTGTGTGGCTTAATCAATATATTTTTATGATCTTTAAATCACCGTAAATCTCCAATTAAGCTCTATCTTTTAAATATACTTAATTTGAATATTTTGCGCTAAACATATAACGCGGAACATTTGAATGAAAAACGACTATTGAGAAAGACTTGCAAGTTTGAAGTCGATTTTCTTACAAAAGAAACCACCTTTTATGTTTTCATTTTTTTTATTCCTGGTTAGATAATATAGTAGTCTGTCAGGAACTGCCAACAGAAACTGTAATATATTGTTTGTATTGCCGCTATTAGGACTCGAATCTTGTGCTATGATAGTTTTGAACGGGACTTCGCATAGACGCTCAGCTGAGCAGAATTTCGATCTATGTAAGGTTCTCTATTTAACGTTAGTAGTTTTTCACGAAAAGTGGACAAATTCGGTATTGCGAAAACTACGCGTCGCAACAAAACAAGGCTTGTTCCGTTTTTGTCCTGGGCCAGGGGCCTATTTAGGAAAATTAATAATGTACGGTATAAATAGATTGTTAATTATTTTTGCGTAATTAATTTTTTAAATATTGTGTTTAAAGGCATGGTTTCAATTAGAAAATTGCTCAGCATCATAAAAAAAAAAAACACTAAATCAACAAATTGCAGAAGGATAGAAGGCACGTGAAGCATTTTACGGCTTTCTGAAAAACCGCACATATTCGCCGGGTTTTTAAGTTTCGGTTTGCAATCGGAGCGCATCTCGGCTCCGACGGCACCGCGCCCCGTGGAGAAAAAGTGCAACCAGCCTCTGCTGCGTCGCGCGATGCCAGCGCAGCAGAGGTTAGTTGCAGTAATATATATCGCAGTAAAATTTCACTCGCGAAGACATCAGTGGAGGCACATGGATAAAGCAAGGGAAAGAAGGTCATAACACCACATGTGTCTTTATGTCTTTCCGTATGTGGTGCTGTCTTTTTCTTTCCCTTTCTTTATCCTTAATTGTGCCTCCACTGATGTCGTCGCGAGTGAAATTTTACTGTATGTCGAACGCCTGACGAAGCCAGGTCCGCCCGGCGCAACGGTTGGGAATTAAAGTTTTAAGTTTTTAAGTTGTTTTGTTGCCGACGTTTTAATTTTCACACAAACACACACATACACACGCACACACACGCATGTGTTTGTATTTGGCTCGACCGTTGTCCTCATATTATCGCAGTCGGCTGTTTGCTTAGAAGAACGTTCCGCTGTTCCATGTCAGCACAAGTTCCGACCCCAAGAAGCGACGAATTCTGTGTCCGTCGTGCAACCCGAGGCACCTATCCCGGCTTCGGAGTTCAAGGTGGTCGCAGACAGCATGGTGCTGGGCCTGGGCCACCAACTGCGCCTCTGCGGCATCGACACCGTCATTCTGCAACAGGGCGAGCACCACGACCAAGCAGTAAAGGTAAGCTCGGTAGACACCCTTTTCCAAATTCAGTGCCATCTGCTGTCTCAAAAAGCAGTTTCATTTTCGACAAACTAATGACAGTCATGATACTATATTTCATCGGGCAGTGCAGCATGCACGCGAGGGTATCTTTGGCAGGCTTGCAATCACTTGTGCTTATTTCACGAGCATCGAGAGACACAAAGCCTGCCAAAGGTATCGTCGCACGGATGCTTTACGTGTTTGAGGCTTGTCGGTGTCGGTTGTTTCTGTTTCTTGCTCTTGTGGGACTCGGGCATTCATATGCCATCAATAAACTTGTCGTGTCGTGCCGCCGAGTGGTGTAACCAAGGAAACCGCCTCTTATGCTATGCCGCGGCCGAATGCGGCGCTGCCACTTCACGTCAGCGCCACCGGAGATTGGTCACAAGTGCGCACGTGCTGCGTTATCGCGTGGCTAGGAGGAAAGCAGGTGGAAAGGTGGAGGCGTTCGTGGACGACCACGCATTCGTCACATGTAACTCGTAGTGCAAACGCGGCCCGTAAACCACGTGACCTGCCACCTAGCGGTGGTCGCCGCCTACTCGTCGGGATGTAATTTTTACGATGGGATCTAAGGTTTTTATCATAGGGGTTATTAGAATAAACGCTACTGGCTCAGCTGGCGCTAGTGTGCTGTTGCATTTTGAAACAGACAGCAAGCAGCCTAAATTTGCCTTCCGGTAATGTATTCCTATGGGAAAACGCAATTGCGTTTTCTTGTCGCACACGATTATGAGAGCAAATATTGCTTAGTGTTGTGAGAGTATAACAAGTTTGGAACTTTTTACAATCGGATGTACGAAAAAATATGTCAGAGCGTTTTTCTTTAAAATTGATAGCGTCGAAGGCTGCGCTAAAATAGCCCAATTCACATGTATAATACATGTTGACGTTGCAGACTGCTATTATAGGGCACACATTTACGCATATAGTCAATGCTATGACGCACACAGAGTGAATCAGCTTGACAGAACACCAAAAGGATGCTAGTATATGCCAAATCAAACAATTATAACAGACGACAAGAACGAAGCATTGAGTTATGGAACGAAGAACACGTACTGGATTAGTAGAAAACTGTGCATGAATAATGATTGATAGCTTGCATTGATAGCTTGTATTCATTGATTGATAGCTTGTGTTGACATATCATGGTGTACACCATAGATCCGGGACTCCATTGTTGCTAATTCAAACGTCGCTCAGTAATAAAAAAATAGTCATGAACTAAATAAATTACACTTTTATAATGTGAATAAACCTACATAGTACCCGTTACGAGTAAAGGAACTACGCCGATTTCTATTATTCCTTGGCGAAGAGAAAAATATCTTGTACGTTTTTCCATAGGAATACACAGGAAGGCTGCAAAAGTAGACTGCTTGCTGTTTAATTTGCGACCGGAAGTCTCGTAGACACTAGCGCCAGCTGAGCCTCTAGCGTTTATTGTAATAACTCTATGGTTCTTACAAATTCCGCAAGCTTTTTCCGTGGCGCAAGACTTGTGCGAACACTGATCTCTACTATAGGGGGCTGGATGGCGCTTAGCTGCTCTACGAGCCTGGCGCAAGTGAAGTCACCGGAAGTTCGATGCTTGTCCCGGAAGTCGGGCGTGCACTGGGCTTCCTAGTGCATTCAGTCGATATTTTGGAACAGGCTTTTTTGTGCCTTTGATTGGGTTTTAATACCCCCGTTCTGGATTAAATCCCGAGAATGAGGCATTTGAACTTGGGACATATTCTCAACTTGATCAACTAGAATCTCAAAACGTTTACATTGAATGGCTTCCCATGATACTTCTGGCTCTCTTGAGGGAACAAGTGAAAATCCAGCGCCCTCGACGTTTTTCGAACCAGCACTCGGAAGGGTTACAAAGCCTGCCAAGCGCTCGCTTCCGGGACAAGCCGCTTACTTCCGGTGGCTTCATACCTGTTTGCTCAATGCGCCATCCAGCCCCCTCTAGTGGAGATCAGTGTGTGCGAACGTAATCTGAGGGCAGCGGCTAGAAAGGACCTACCGATGACGATGTTCTGTTCGCCGCTAGGGGCGCCCTGGTCGGGGCTTGAGTTTTGTCCGCTCCTTTCCTTTTTGGTTACGCCACCGCTGCCGCAGTGCATCCAGGGAACTTTAGTCTTTTTGCACGTGCGACAACCTTAGTGGAGCTCTGCGCGTGCAGAGCCCGATACGGCATGAGCCGTCTCGGCCACTGGCGCCAGCCCCCGTAAACTAAAGTTATGGCGGCTTCACGCATGCGCCCGACGCTTAGTGAGATCGGTCTGCAACCGCTGCCCACACGAGCAAACCGCGCTTGTGTGGGCAGCGTACTACATTTAGCGGGCAAAAATTGCCCGCTAAATTTGACGGAAAAATGTCCCCGCTAAATATAGCAGAAAATGTTTCTCTAAATTTAGCGGGAAAATTTCCCGCTAAATTTAGCGGGGAAACTTTTCCGCCAAATTTAGCGGGCAATTTTTTTTCGCTAAATCTAGCGGGGAAATGATTCCGCCAATTTTCCCGCTAAATTGAGCGGGGAAAGTTTTCCGCAAAATTTAGCAGGGAAATTTCCGCGCTTATTTCCCCTCCGTACAGTTCCCTCCCCTCCTTACCCTTCCCTCCTCCTACAGATCTGCGCTCTATTTCGGCATTACAGAGGATTGTAAACGTCTCATTTTTTTTAGAACGCAGCCCTTAGGCGCCCGTTTACGGTTTGAGCGGCGTTGCCGTCGGCGTAACTGCGCGTTGCATTACGGGACGTTTCCCATACGGACGTCACACGTGACGTCACGAGGGTCACGAAGAAGGAGGAGAAAATTTTTTCCGCTAAATTTAGCGAACAAGTGTTCCCCCTAAATTTACCGGAAAAAAAATTCCCCGCTAAATTTAGTGTAACAGATTCCCCGCTAAATTTTGCAAAAAACTTTCCCGCTTAATTTTAGGGAGAAAATTCTCCGCTAAATTTAGCGAAAAAATTCACCACTAAATTTTGCGGGAATAGTTCCCCGCTAAATTTAGCGGAATATTTCCCCGCTCAATGTAGCGGGAAAACTTCCCCGCTATATTTAGCAGAAAAATTTCGTTGTTTAGCGGAAATCTTTTCCCCGCTAAATTTAGCGGAAAGTATTCCCGCTAAATTAGGAAAAAGAGTTTCTCCCGCTAAGTTTAGCGGGGAAATTTTTTCCGTTAAATTTAGCGGGAAATGTAGCGAAAATTTCCCCGCTTAATGGGAATTGAGCAGGAGAGGAGGAGTCGGAGGAGGGGCATACCCACCCCTCCTCTTTTTCAGGAGCTGCGCTCTAATTCGGCACTGCAGAGGGTTGTAAACGTCTTAATTGTTTAATCTTGTTTTTATAAATCTAATATGTACTCGAGTCGTAGACGCTCTGTTTATGAATAAGGTCACCTTACTCACAGGTCACACACACAACCAGTCATCACGTGCTGTATAAAAAAAAGTACCTAATAATGCATTCAAGTCAACGATTCTCTACGCAAATACCTTGTGCCCAGATAGCCTGTTCGCGAGAGGAATATATTTCCTGGCGAATAAAACATATTATTAAATAAATTGTATAAGTTTGATTTAAATCAGGTTTATTTGATTTAAGTCATATTTATTTAATTTAGATCAGATTTATTTGATTTAAATTTCTCTAGTTCGAAAATAGTGCACCGTTTGTATTGATAAACATTGGAGATTGAGTGATCAGCTCTTGCGATCACTGAAAACAATGCGAAGAAAATTACTGTAAATTTTAAGTATTGTTTAATTCAGGAATTATTTATTGATGAAATTTCCGCATACTAGACAAAACACAACCTTTTGTCTCGTTATTTAAAATTTTTGTTTGGTTTTTCTTTCGCGTTCTGATTTTATTGTAATAGGCTAGGACATTATTCGCACCTTTCAGCGATGGTGGTACCGCGGTGTGAGAATCGCGCTCCCTATAGCTCCTGGATAACAGGCTTCAGAATAAAGGTGCTTGCCTACACCTTCCCGTTGTGCAAAAAAATAAAGTAAGGCTTTGTTACTGCTCGTATATAGTAAGACTATAATTACCTGCGCGTCGCCGAACCGGCCTGGTACTGCTGTTCCACGACGATCATCCAGATGAGAGCCATTTTGATAGGCAGCAGTGCGCCCTCTACAGGTCGGGAGAGTTGCAAATACTTTCCTTGTTTTCGTTTTTTTTTTTTTTTTTTTTTGCGTTCTGGTTTTGTTGTTGTAGGACGTAATGCAAGTAAAGAACGAAGTGGAAGGTAGAAATCCAGCTCAACGCTCGGATTTACTCAGAAAAAGGCACTGTTTTTGCTTGCGTTCAGTCTTATATAGAGATTCTTCTTGATTGATCATTCTTTGATTTATGTACAAACCAAACGTATGCACAGAAAGCGTCAACTGATGGACAAACGGTAAATAAAAAAATATTTTCGGAATATTTTTCACGTGACCTTGAAAACGGGCGCAGTGGCGCGCCCGTCCCGAGAGTCACGTGACAGGTTCACAGCGCTTGATTGGCTGAGACAGCTCGTAGCGACCGCTGCGGTATACTATAAGGTGAAATGTAGCATATACTGGAGTAAATGCCCGTTCAGTGTCTAATCGAACCTTGTGTATACACTTCAGCTTTCTCATAAAGAAGACAGGGTCATCCTAACAAGCGGAGCTGCGTTTCAAAAGGTAGCTTTGCTATTTTTTATTTCTGTTTTTACTATTTTTGAGCTCCACGTAGGCAGATTTAGGCCATTTTAATATTTCCTCACGCAGCTCAAACTGTACGTTCGCCCCGTGATGATCTTTGAGGTGAACAACCTCCTTCCAGCCAAGGAACAACTGAAGATAGTTCTCGAACATTACAAGGTCGTCATCAAGGAAGAAAATCTGCTTAGTCGTTGCACGGTATGTATCAGTTTTTCAGCGTCTTGTTTTCTGGCTGTTTTTTTCCCCTTTTATCACTTGTACGAGTTGCACGGGCTCGTGACTCACTAAATATCACGATGATGTCCAAACGCTTCGAAATAAGGTAGAGTCACGTTTGCATGCATGGATATTTAGTCTGACCGCGTTTACACAACTTGAGGAGGTGCTTTTGTTTTGGCTTAGTTCATTCATTACTAACACAAACGCCTAGAATACCTGCAAAATAAAAAAGAAAGATTTTTTTTTTTGTCAAGGTTATTGGGCGAATGTTGACCAAGATCGAGCCAAAGTAGTATTTTTTGTTTCTTTTGAAAACTTGATATTCAGAGGTCATTAACCCTTTCGCACAAAGTATTGGATATTATTAGACCCAGTGGTAGGCAATGCACGTCGGAGATTGGGCTGGGGGAGGGGGAATGAAAGAAAGAAAATAAAGAGAAAAGGGCAAGACAAGCAAGGTGCACTCCAGAGTACACGCGAATCGAAAGGTTGTCGCCAAAATTACTACAATGGTGGAAAGTGCTCGTTCGGGGCACTAAAGTAAGCTGTTGAATTTAGTGGGCTCCGATACCATAACAAAACCAAATCTAAAAGAAAAAAAAAAAAGCTTTGATGTTTTGCACGCGCCAATAGCGTTACGAAGTGCGTACTTTGCTTTCCTCTTTACTTTCTTTCTTTGTCCGTTGTCCCTGATGTGGCGATACCTGCTTCTGCGCAGGGCCGTACCCAGAAAAAAATTTCGGGGGGGGGGGGGGGGGGGGGGGGGGTTTCGGGGACAACGGCGGCCATTTTGAAAGTGTCTATTGCCTTATTTTCGCCTATGAATCATGTGCATCGGTGGCATATAATGGAGAGTTACAGCAAACCGGAGAACCGGTCCCGGTTTGGTACCCGGTAGCCGACCGGCGCCACTGCGCGTGCGCAGAGGTGGAGATTAAAATCGGCTGGCTGCCAGTGCACCGACCAGGGCCGTACCCAGAAAAAAATTTCGGGGGGGGTCAGAACCCCCTATCCCCCCCCCCTGGTTACGGCCCTGCTTCTGCGGATTACTTCTTTCCGTGCAAGGACAGTGGTGCCCCGGAATATCTGAGACGAAATGTATATGCAATCTTACTGTGCAGCCAAACCAATTAAAGTTAATTATTTTACAAAACATTTTGCCGCCTCGTCAAAAAGAAAAAAAAATGAATTTTTAAAAATCTGTTTTAGGCAGATTAATAAATAATAAAATTTGAAAGCGCTTTTAAGTAGGGTTCCGTGTTTTTGTAGTTTATTAATTTCTTCGAATTCGGGGGTGTTTTTTAGGATTTATTTGCTCCCACAAATTTCATGATTTTTAGTGTTAATTTTCGCTGTCGGGCACAACCTCGGAGATTATCGGGGATTATGTAAATCCAAGGGGCATGCGCGTGTGGTTTCGAAGGGAGAAACCGCCTCGGCGGACATATAGGTTGTCCTTCCCGTTCAAAACAAAATAAAACCCTTAAGAAAGGATCTTTTTGCGAAGCTATTTTTCTTCGTTCACGGCAGTTTCGATTCGGGTTTTTTTAGTTTCCCCTGATTTGGGTAAAATCAGCTCACGGGTGTATTTTCAGGGCTTATCGGTACTTTCCGAAAACAGGGAACACTGAAATAAAATATCAAGCTACTAAAAAAATTAATATTAAAGTAACCTGATTTGAGTGTTTAAGTTACGTACGATCTGCCTCTGCTTTCATCTTGCTTATTTCCATCAACCCGCCTGTCGTCTCGTTTTTATTGTACGTCTCCACCCGAAACTGAAATCCACGTGCAAGGGAACTTGTGGCGACGAAGTTTTTGTTGACTAACCGTCACATTTTCTTTTCCCCTTGTCAGGCGTGCAACGGGGACAACTATGCCCTGGTGCCCCAAGACGACATGAGAAAGCTCTGTACGAGGTCGGGAGCGCGCCACCGGGAAAGGCGCACGTACGGCGCCCACGTCCTAGACTTGGAGTCGGCCTGCTTCGACGGCGGGGTCAGGGTTCAGCGGGAGAGCTTCGCCATCGAGCGTATGTCTCACGTGGACACCTTCCACGTGTGCGTCAAGTGCGGAAAGGTGTACTGGGAAGGATCACACCGCCGTCGCGTCAACCAGCAGATGCGCTCGTCCAACCTGATCGCCGGACCCTGGCAGGCGTCCGAGACTTTGTAGAAGTCAATTTGATGAATAAGAAGAATCCAGATCCTTAATTACATCTGGGAATTTCACGGTTTCGTGCTGTCTTCCAGGCTCGACATTTCGGTGTTGTGTGCGAGCCTGTTGCCACCAGTGTTGGGGAATCCCTCTTCCAGTTCCATTCAGGGGAATTAGAGTTTCTGAAAATTCATTTCAACCCCTACAGGAATGTAGACACTAAACCCATTCCCACTTTTGGAATGGCTGAATTCTACCATTTGATTCCTCTTGTTCCCAAACGTGGAAAAAAATGGCCATTGACAGCTACGTCGCGTTACTGGAAAAAGCAGCATAAAGCTTTTGACGTTAACAAACGCGGAGACAACTGAAAAAGTATGCAAAAATCTTCCTCAGGCACTCTAAGCCGAGCGGTGGTCGCACAAAGCGCTGACATCGATGGCGTGATCAAGAGTAAAAGGCTCGCAACGGACGCCACAAATTAAAACCACCCAGTTTCTTCGCAAACGGACCGTATATATACCCTCACATGTACATGGTCAGCGTATTCTTTGTCTGATAAGGCCTTCAAAATGTATAGTTCGTGCATGGTGCAAGAAGCAATCTTGCTCTCTGCTTCGAATACCTACACGACAGCACCACGCACTGCGGTGCTGTCGTGCGAGTGCACTGTCACATGCGACACCTACCCCAAATCTCTCTGCAGTGCGGCAAGAACACAAAACCACTGACATAGTGCTATCGCTAAGGTGCTAGCATAAGGGACTGTAGCACCATGTTATGGAACCTGCCTTAGAGTGGTACTTGAACGAAATCGGAAATATACCCGTCGTGTTCTGAAGATTGAAATAGGCTGAATATTTTGAATATACTTTATTCAGACAAACGTCTTGGAAGATAGGGCAAAAGGCGACTAGAGTCGCCTGACAAGGGCCGGTCCCCCTGCACAGTCCAGCAGCAAAAGGTACAGTAAAAAAACGAATCAAAACAATTACATCATTACACAACGACACAGTGACATATACAAAATGTGATCTAACAAAACAGAAACACATAAAAATACCAACATAAATTATGTTAGTCCTAGAAGAAAACTTTTTATGGTGGTTTTAAATATGTGCATTGTATTAGAGCTATTAATCAAGGACAGTATTTCAGGATGGTTATTTATTGTGCAATTTGATTAAGTATTTTTTAGCTATTATATTTAGTGCGTATCCTCGACTGTAGGCGGTGCGTATGACGGAAGGTGTATGTGGATGCCCTGTTGATGTAATTTTCTTGCACGAACTCAGGGTGTAGTTTAATTTTGTGGAACATGTATTATTGCCAATTTCTCGGTGAGTGATTGTTCTGCTGTAAGAAGAGAGTATTTTATGAAATATGGGCGGGAGTGTTCCCGATATGATACATTGGCAATTGACCGCACTGCTCTTTTCTGCAATAGAAGTAACTTAGAAACACAGGTCTTTGAGCATGTACCCCATACTAAACTACAATAGCTTAAGGGAGGAGAAGGAAGGGGAAGCTATTCGGCGGCCTTTTTTTTTTTTAACATAGGGCTAGAGCATTACGCTGCCGGTGGTTTAGTCCATGGCGGGATGGAGATGCCGCAATGGTTCATCGAGCTGCTGCTCCTACTCCACCGAGATACGAATCTTACCTCACTATTCCTTCAACAGGACAACTTGCAGAGTGTGCAGTGGAAAGCCTACTTAATGACAAGATGAGTCACAGAATTCTGAAAAGAACTCTAATGCAGCGGCTTCTTTGTTTTCTTCGATTGCCTTTGACAAGAGATATGGCTTCGTGCACCGGTCATCCTAAAATAATGTTTTTTGAATGGTACTCCAATGAGCGAGGTCAATAACTCAGTCTATTTATAAAAGGGAGCATCGATAAGTATCGCCCAATCAATCTAAATTTCAAGGCTCTGCATAAAAGGGAGGGATTTCTCTTTCTGGCAGAACTCATTGGCGAAAAGGATGAACGCATCACGGGAAAATCGTAAATACATCGCACAAAGCTAATTCTAAAAAAAAAAAGAAAATCACGCTCAAATTTTTTTTTTTGTTTTTGACAAAAAAGAAACATGTTATTAAGAACTTTTTCCAAGCATAAAATTTTACAAAAATAAAAAAAAGATTGGTTCATATTATCAAAATAGTCTTAAACATAAAGGACACAAGATAGTTTACGATCTCAAGAGTCCATTTCATCAAAAAGGTCAAAACGTGGAGACTCAAAATCGTTAAATGAGAGTTGTATGCGAATTAATGGTTATGATTTTCCTTGAAGGGAAGGATAAAATAGAGAGTGGTGTCTTCAAAAGCGAGCAGGTGCATGAAAATGTGCAGAGCTTAGCAGGTGAGCATCGAAGTGTCCATGAATTCCTTTGTGTAGAAAGAGAATGTCACGGGTGAGTCGGCGAGTAGATAGATTTTGTAAATGCAGACTTTTGAGCAGGTAGTCGTAGCCATAATAACAAATGAATAAAACGTTTCTTTACCGTTTCAATTCGAGACAGATCAAAACCAACGAGTTCCATATTACAATACCGAATTCAAGTTTTGTTCGTATAAGGAGGAAAATAGTCGTACAAGGCAAAAAAATAATTCCTAAAGTCTCAGGACAGACGAGAAAGTAAACCAAGCCTTCGTACAAAAGAGGCAACAATCTGAATAACATGACCAGAAAAGGGAAGTCTGGTATCGAAGTCGATCCCGAGGTCATGAATCATGGTGGCACGTGTGATAGTAGCGGACTGATGAACATAAGGATAAAATAAAATCTCGCGTTTTCGTGACATTGTCAGTAATTTTCCCTAGATTAAGCATAAAAAAATTTGCTGAACGCCACTCAGAAACACGATTAATATCCTCTTGTAAGATACTGCAATCAGAGGACGATCACATATGTTATAAAAATCTTCATGTCATCAGCAAACATTAACAAACGTTAATTTTAATGCTCTTTGCAAGGTCGTTTACGAATAGGTCGTCAAAATAAGCGATATCTACTTGACCATGAGAAATAACTATAGGAGCTGAATAACCAAGAAATTAACAAAGATTCGTTTCCACTGAGCGTCCCTTCAAAAGCCCATGTTGAACACTACTAAATTTACGTCAAAAGTAATAGGAAATACGCGAGTGTACGATTATTTTAAAGACGTTTGAGAATGCACATAACAGAGATGTTGGTCGATAGTTGTTTACCTTACAAGTGTCGCCGTTTTGTTGCACTGGTATGACAACTGACCTTTTCCATGGTGATAGAAAAACACCGGTTTTCAAGGAAAGGTTAAACATGTGACATAAAGAAGGAGCGAACAGATTGGCACAACCCTTTGACAATAAAATTTGGTATAATATATTCATTTCTTGAGCCTCATTCGTATTAATGTCTGATAGTCAGTGAGTCCTGGAAAGAGACGTATCTGAATTTCTCCGCCCGCGTGACACGGGAACTAAACGGATACCTGGCTTGGTGGCGTCATATCATCCTGTTTGTGGTCAATCTTACATGTTCTTGCCCCCCCCCCCCCCCCCCCCCAAAAAAAAAAAAAAAAAAAAAAAAAAAAAAAACTGATAGTGCGAATAGCATGCACCCTAAGATAGGCGCTCAGCATATGCAAGGGCACCACAACGGCCGCTGGTGAATGTAATCTCATCGTAAACCACGTATAAGAACGACGACTCAAGTACGCTTCTCACTGGATTAAACAGCCGTCAAGGCCTGCACTTTCTCCGCGGGGCGTTTTCTGCGAGCTCCTCAGCGCACCGGTGGCGCTAAGTCCCTCGTTGACCCTTTGCCGGTCTGCTGGCTCCGTTCGCTGTCGCCGATTCGCGGCGCAAATTCCCGTCTCCGCCGAAAGCGGAGTTTTCGCCGGGTTGGTTGTTCCCGAGCGAGGGGAGCCGAGGGTGTCGTTAACCCCCTCCTCGTCGGCGCGGCCACCGACCAGAGATGCAGCGTCCGCGGTACCACGCGGGAGAAGACTGCACACGCGATCGGCCGTTCAAATTTCACAAATGGGTGCCCCCGAATGGATAGTGGCATCGCAGTTCTCTCTTCTGCATTGAAAAGCGCCCAACTGCGGGACGCTGCCGGAAGTGATGCACCAGTGCTGTCTCGGAAAAGCGGGACCGAGGGAGTTAACATATGCGGCACACAATGGCCAAAGGAAGACGCCGTTGTTGGAAGTTAGAGCCATCGACATCCACGCGTCCGGGTTCTATCCCTATTTACCGATTTTTGTTCTGCTTCTCCTTCTAATTACTCTGTCACTTTGCGGGACGGCTTGGATCAAATTCGATTTCGCGTAGATCCTGCATTTGGCTCTCGACTGTTCGTTTTCTAGAGCAAGCGGAATACACGTTTTCGCTCGAGTGAAAATACTGTAAAGTGGAGATTCTAAGGGGTGGAAGTAAGTGCGAGGATAATTTGAGTTCTGCTGCCACCTGGTTTCAAAAGAACGCCGGTTGCGCGGGTAAATGACGTACTTTGTTTTACACTTGTCACCGGTTCTGGGTCAAACACACACACACACACGTACACACATACGTACACGCACGCACACATACACCACACACGCACGCAGGCACGCAAAACACAACATGTACATGCACAAAAAATGCACTCGTCACAAAACAAACTGCTGTGGCACCTTTAGCACATAAAAGTGTATACATTTATATTCACAAACCTCTATAGTGTGCAGTATTGACCAAACTGGAGCGACAAATTAGGAACACGTCTTGCAGGCATGTCTCAAAAAACATCTTGCGACTTTTAATAACCGTTTCACGCTAGCGTTACTTCGATGTATCACCTTGCAAAGGCTGGGAGACAAATCCAAGCCCGACGCCACGCCTAAAAACTCCCCATGGAGCGAACAACGTGACTTTTTAGACTCAGACTACCATATGACTTCGTGCGTGGTAATGCGACCGTTAAACAATGCAAAACAAGCGGCCAGACTTTGCAAGGACAGACGCATGGTGACCTTCCGTCAGAGCAGGTGGACGATTCACGGCTTCCGTGATGCCCTTCCGCGATATGCCTTTCAG